TAAAAAAGATCAAAATACTAGCTAGCCTCGTAATAATTATAGGGTCATTCTCTTGTTTATAATTAAAATACAAATATATGTATTTGTTTTGGTTAATTTGTGACACAGCGTGGAAGCAATAAAATTGGGCTGGCTATGCAAGCACCGGGCGAACACTCGCTTCTAGTGAAGCAACACAAATTCTCTAGAGGAGAGAGAAAAGGTGGCGAAAATTGAAGATTAAATCTGAAGTGTGTATTAACTGGAAAATAGCAGTATTTATAGTACATCTGTAAATTGTAAAAGAACTAGGAAAGAACAACTAAGATAGATATCAAAACATCTAATCTGCTAGGATTGAATTCTTCTTGATCTTGGTCTTGATAGGATCGAATTCTTTGGCTTGATCTTCACCGTCCGATCTCCCTGGATCTTATCCATGCATGGGCTATCCTAATCTTGGTATGAATCTTGGATTATCTTGAATTCTTGAATTCTTGATGGGTCATGGATTTTTGAATTCTTGATGGTTCTTGAATTCTTGAATTATCTTGGACTCTTGAATTCTTGATGTATCTTGAATTCCTGAATTATCTTGGATTCTTTGAGTTCTTTGGCTTATCTTGAATTCTTCCCATGAGCTGTCGCCTATATGATGAGATGGGCCTCCATCATTCTCCCCCACTTGGAAAGGACTCGACCCTGAGTCGTGCCTAGGATATGCGAGGGTCGTCTTTGGTAGGTAGCGATGAAGGTCAGCAAGTATTAAAGCACTAGGAAATTGTGTAGTAGCTTCCCTTGAGAAATTGTTAACATAGATTGCAAATGCTCTCTTATCACATATACGGTAGGCTGACCAACATGGATGAAGTGTTTTGGCCACTTGCTCAACATCAATTCCCTTCCTCGATTCTGTCATCCAATAAAGGGCTTGTTTCTGATACGGCCTTAGACCACACATGAGTGTTTTGGGAGGATCCATTTCCTCCAAATTGTACGTATCTGCAGTACCGACAAGCTTATTTAAAGCTGACTCTGAGATAACTTGTTCATTGTTACTTTTCTCAGGATGTTGGCCCCCTTTCTTCGTTTCAAAAGAGGCAAGAGTGCTGCAGTTTCATCCGAATCACCCTCTAAGTTTAAGGAATGTTTTCGCTTGTCAAGATCCTCCGGGGTAACTTTTGCCTTCTGATATGGCTTAATTTTCAGCAATTTGAAAAGTGCCGGAAGAGGATCGAAGTATGAAGGAAATTCTAACTTCCATGAAGAATTTACAAGGGGAATTATGATTCTAGCCCAATTCGTTGGCAGCCTCCCTGTCACAGCGTACAAAATTACGATTCTAGCACCAAGAACAAAATCAATGTGATGTTGTATATCTCGCATGTGTGGGAGTTCATTTGGTAACTCATCTGGAACTACATCATGGAACTCATCAAGTAGTCCTTGCATTTCTCCTAGAATTTTATTTTCCTCTAGTGTTTCATTCATATTTTCTCCCTTCAACAAATGTACATCGCGGGTATCCTTACATTCTTTTACAAATTCATCATGATGATGGGTAATAGTAAGGAAATTTTTCTCATTTGTTTTTGGGGCCTTTGGAACATTCTTTTCAGCCATGGGTAGCAAAGTGTAGTGTATACCCTCTTTTTCAAGTTGGTAGGTATTTTTCCTCCCCATGTGCCTTGCATCTGTATCAAATTGCCAAGGCCTACCTAACAGAATATGGCAATCATCCATGTCTACAATATCACAATAGACTTCATCATGGTACTTACCAATAGAAAAGGGTACTTTGTAGCGTTCCTCCACCCGGCGGTAATTATCACTACGGGCCTTTTCTTGGAACATCAATTCTGCTTTCAAGACTAGGTTCCTTGCTTCCTGCACACTAAGAACCATCTGTACACCAATTTTGTCTCTGATAGACGGTCTTAAACCGCTCAGATAACGGGATGCCTGCTGGTTATCACTTTCAGATAATTGGTTTCTTTCAGCTAATCTTAAAGATTCTTATGTATATTCATTAACACTACGGGAACCCTACGCACACCGCTGGTAAGATTTAAACATGTACTGTTCATAATCTGGGGGTAAAAATCTACCTCTGATTAACTGTTTCATGCGCCTCCAGGTTTGAACAGGACCCCTTCCTTCTCTGATTCGGGTCTCTCTTAGGCATTCCCACCAAACAGATGCGCCTCCCTTTAACCGGAAAGCTACCAATTTTACCCTCCGTTCTTCTGGTATCTCCATGTACTTGAAGAAACGATCGACTTCTGTGATCCAGTCTGGAAGTCCTTCTATGACAACAGCCCCATTAAAAGTAGGAATATCTACTTTGAGTTTAAATTCATCATTACTCCTACGGGGGTTGAAATTACCTTGATTGCGTCAATTTCTGCCGTTTCTGTCGTCTCTAGGAAAAACTGGAGCACCACCAAATTCTAACTCATCATCACTGTCGTCGTCAAGAACTAGGCGCCGGAATACATGTCTGTCGTGGTCGTCTCCTTTAATTGGGTATGGATTCTCCCAGTTCCGTGGAACATCCTCCCGTAACAAGGTTCGCAGTTGTCCAGCAATCTCTACCAATTGTTGTTCGATGTTACGTGTGGCTGTGCGCTGTTCTTCAATCGCTCTCCAAACAACTTGTAACCCCTGATCTCCGTCACGGGGTGGGTTGTGACTGCTACCGTCTTGGTTGGCCATCTGACTGGGCAAATTCCTTGCTCTGATACCACTTGACGCAGCGTGGAAGCAATAAAACCGAGTTGGCTATGCAAGCACCGGGCGAACACTCGCTTCTAGCGAAGCAAACACGAATTCTCTAGAGGAGAGAGAAAAGGTGGCGGAAATTGAAGATTAAATCTAAAGTGTGTATTAACTGGAAAATAGCAGTATTTATAGTACATCTGGAAATTGTAAAAGAACTAGGAAAGAACAACTAAGATAGATATCAAAACATCTAATCTGCTAGGATCGAATTCTTTGGCTTGATCTTCACCGTCCAATCTCCCTGAATCTTATCCATGCATGGGCTATCCTAATCTTGGTATGAATCTTGGATTATCTTGAACTCTTGGTTTATTGGATTATCTTGAATTCTTGAATTCTTGATGGGTCTTGGATTCTTGAATTCTTGATGGTTCTTGAATTCTTGAATTTTCTTGAGATAATCTTGAATTCTTGAATTATCTTGGACTCTTGAATTCTTGATGTATCTTGAATTCCTGAATTATCTTGGATTCTTTGAGTTCTTTGGCTTATCTTGAATTCTTCCCATGAGTTGTCGCCCATATGATGAGATGGGCCTCTATCAATTTGGTTTTCAGTTTGATTCAATTGAAATATTTTTTTAAACCTAATTGAAAATTGAAAACCGATATCTTTAAAATTACCAAACCGAAAACCAAACAAACCAAAATGAGTTAGCTTATTTAGTTTGGTTTGGTATCCAAATTTGAACACCCCTACTATTCAGTGTGATATATCTAATGTTATCCAAATTTGAACAAACCAAAATGACAAAAAATTAACAGTCTCAAATCCTTGCCTCTTCAATTCAATATGGTTGGGGTCACCAGAATGTCCACTCAAACGTGACCCCAACTTTCTTGAATGGAAAAGGCAAAGATTTGGGACTGTTAATTTTTTATCAACATTTAGATGGTTGATAAAGAAAATTAAATAACACTTGAAGGGCATTTGTGTCCTTTTAAAATGCCATTTAACGGCTGATTAACAGTTAGTTAACAACAAATACTAGATTGTCACATTTTAAAAGTTTAAATACTAAATTATTATATTTTTAAAGTTCGGAGATCAAAATAACTCTAGGCCCAAAATACAGTGTACTACTCCGAAATATTCCCTTACAATTATTACTAGGCCTTCATCTTGTATTATTAACGTGTTGCCATTTATTGTACCTCAAGAACATAGAAGCCCTCATAGAGGAGAAGCTGATTATTTCAAATCCTAAATCCCTGTATCCATTCACTTGGTGATGCAGGTTATGCTAGATGCCCTGTATCCCTCCACTTTTAAGGTTTCAAGGTTGGAAGGATGGAGGCTTCCTGATCTTTGTGGCCTGTTCAAAGGCATAAGCAATCTTAATCAATCGTTGGCTCAGACCTTTTAATGCCCCAAAGCAGAGGCCAAATGGCACGCCTGTATGCAGGCACACTGATTGTTGGGTAGCCCCCAATTTCAATTTCAAGCACATGAGCAAAATCTGCACCAGGAGAATTATCACATAAACTGTTGTAGATCAATATTTAAATTGAACATGCTGAAGTACCCAATCTTCAGTCATCAACCATACGAGCATATTCACGATGCAAATCACTCTTCGTCCTCTACATCGGTTCTAAACTGATAGAAGTATGACAGTATCGTCCAGATGCTATCAATAAGTTACAACTTCACCACCTATACAGCTTCCTGTAACCTATACAGATTATAAATCCCAACAATTTGCCTTAGCTGAGAATCAAAACAGACACATGCCACTTTGGCATTTTCCATTTTAGCATATTCGGCTTAAAACTTGAGCCCAGACCAAACCCAAAGTCAAGCCCAATCTCTCTAATCTGGGCCCAATTCACACTAAATTTTGATGCATTTAGGTTGGGCTGGGATCATTTTGATCAATCAGCCCCCCACTGAACTTTAACACACACACATCCGGGTCCATCCTGAAAAATAGAAAAATGTAACTTTTTAAACCACTCGGAATTTTCTATTCACTTTTCCTACCCATTCTCTACCCACCGTGAATTAGAATCATACATTTCTCTTATGAACCGCGAGATTTGTGGCTGATTCACGGCGGGTAGAGAGTGAGTAGAAAAAGTGAATAGAAAATGTGGGCTCCTTTTAAACCCAAACCCAACCTGCACAAAATTGTGAGCTGGGTCAATTTGGGCTTGGATTGGACCACCCAAATCGCACCCGTAGTGCCTAGTAGTTGAATTGAAGTAATACTCTTCAGCTTTCATATACACTGTCTAAAGTACTTCTTAACGCAGTAGTTCAATTCATTTTCCAAGAAACCATACAAATAAATGCAACTGATTTTAATAAACAAGTTCATAAGATACAATGTAACTTTGAGACAAGCAACACATTGAACCCAACAAGACAGACCATTACCAGGACCAGCATTGGCACTGATGCCATATTAAACCCCAAACCACAATATATATAGTGATTCCCTGCTGAAACATGCGTGTCTTCAGTTTCGACATCTTCACTCCAACAATAAATACTGAAATTAATGGATGAATGAACAAACACAGGCCAAACAATTCTGAAACAATACTTTGACTATCAACTGTAATTAAACCCGAGGTCACAGTATGCATGCAGTGATAAAATTTCTAAGCTGAAACATGTCTTCAATGTCTTCACTCTTCATTTCACTCCAACAATTAATATATAAACGTTGAAATAGATGAACAAACACTGACAAAACAAGACCTTCCCCGAAGCATGTGCTCCTGCCAATCATAAAAAACAGAACAAGTAAGTTAGTAGCAATGGATTCAAGGCAAGTATCAGCATCATAGAGCTCATAGGGGAAAAGATTAACGCTCGATTATCGATGCCATGACTCAACCAATGACCGAGGCCAGTGAGAATTAATACCTATAAAAATTTTGGGGAGTGAAAATGAAAAATTAAAACTAAAAGAAAAAAAGGAAAAATGTTGGTTAATTAGGCACTTACCAAATGAACCTGATCAGCAGATGCAGAACCTTCCCATGCAATTTAAGTACGAACACCCTCCCACCGTCCATATTCTTGATACCAAAAATCAACGACTGGGATATGTGCAACTCTCCAAGAATCTTCGCCTTGAGTCCCTATCTTCATCATAAATTCTTCTGACAAATTATCAAATAAAACGTATCGAAGCTTGGAGAGGTGTTCAATGCCTAATGGCACCTTCTCTAGAACTCTGCAATGTTGAATATGTAGATTTTCGAGATTAGGTAATGCTCCTTCCTCTACACTCACCCTTCTCAATCCTTGTAAATTGTTAAGGTTTAGGTAGTTAAGCCTCTGAAACCCTCCTCGCCGAAAACATAATTTTTTTCCATCGTAAGTATCGATAAGAAGCATCGTCGTTAGGTTGGGCAAAGCTTGAAGGTCTCCAAGTGGATCATCCTTGAATTTGCACCACCTCAAGTCTATCGTGGTCAAATTGTGCAACGAACCAATCCAGTCTGGTAATTTCTCCAAACGCCCCGTCAACAATAACCGTCGAAGAAAAGGTGGGGGCGAAAATAGATGTTGTAGGTCCAGAATCTCCTCCTCGTGTAATGCAGCTATCGTTAACGAATGAAGGCAGCTCATTTTCTCAATGGAGGAGCATAGATGTCTTCCATCTTCTGTTTTTAATTTCCTAATCTCCAATCGCTTCAGCTGGACCAACTTCCCAAGCTCTGTAATTAGGTCACTCCCGGTGTTTGCTTCTACGCAGCAGAGCTTTTGAAGGGATATCATATCCCCAATTCCACTTGGTGCCTTAAATCCTGGTTGATGAAATGTATAATAAAGAGGTCCATAGTTGTAACGGTAAACAATAAGATGCCGTAGTTTATGAAGGTTGAGGATCCCAACAGGCAACTCAGACACATACGTATACTTGAGATTCAAGGTTTCAAGGTTTTGAAGCTTCTTGATAGAATTTGGAACCATTTTGACCTTGGTGTTTCTCAAGCATAAGTACCTTAAATGGAAGAGATCTGTGAACTCCTCCAGAAATACATCCAAGGGAGCATGTCTCAAATCCAAAACCTTGAGCAGCTTAAGCCTGGAAAAGAATGCAGTACTGCATCTAGATATGTTGAATGTCGCATCTTGCCTGAACATGAACAAAGAACGAAGGTGGGTGAATTTCTCGTTTTCTACTCCCCATTGACAACTACCATGGATTGATAAATGCCTGATTTTTCCATCTACCATTACATCCTGCCCATCAGCATTACTTATGGCCCCAAAACTCTGGTCCCTTGCTTTTGAAAGGATGAATTCTCGAATAAGGTCATGGATTCGACAGTCTATGACTCTTCCATCATCATCTGCTTTATTTGCTACCTGGATGAGGCTCCTATTAACGAGTTCACTGAAATAACTCTCCCCAGCCTCTTCTAAGGTCTTTCCTTGAATTCTTTGGATAAACCCTTCTGCCATCCATATGCGAATCAGTCTCATCCTATCAATCAATTCATCTTCAGGAAACATACTCAAGCACAAGAAGCAAGACTTCAGATGGTATGGCAGATCATTATAGCTCAAAGACAGTATTTTCATCATACCCTTAAGTCTGTCATCCAAATTTAACTCAGCACCTAGGCTACGATTGAACATCTCCCATTCTGTTGTAATCTTCGGCTTTGTCGATAGAACACCACCTACTGTCACAATTGCAAGTGGAAGTCCTCCACATTTTTTCACAATGCTTTGAGATGGCACCTCCAATTCTGGAGGACAAATCTGCTCTGGGGAGAACGAAAAAGTCTTTTTGCAAAACAGAGTCCAGGACTCTTCTTGGGACAACGGTTGAAGATTATAAACTCGAAAACAAGATTTTATGCATGATGAAGCTACATCATTAGAGCGTGTTGTAATAATTATTCTGCTTCCAAAATTGTTATTAGGGAAGACATTTTTAACAGAATCCCATGCTGGTATGCTCCATATGTCATCAAGAACGACTACATACCTCTTTTGCTTTAGAAATTCTTGGAGTAGCTGCTTCAGTTGGGCGTCTTTCATTTCTGCAACATCTTGAGGAATTGGTTGCTTTTGCTCTGCATATACTAATTGCTTTATCATTTCTATTAGCAACTCGTGGATCCCAGGTGACTCTGAAAATGTAACCCATGCTTGGGTTTGGAAGTGTCTCTTCACCCTTTGGTCATCATACACCTTCTTGACCAGAGTCGTCTTGCCCAAACCACCCATGCCAACCACAGAAATCACTCCAAGCTTTGATTCATCCTCCACAATCCACCCAATTATTTCTTCCTTGGGCTTGCCAATCCCTACCAGCTCAGCTTCATCCAACAGAAGGGCATCTTCTCGAATATCATGCCACTTAACACCTGTAGAATTTGAACCTTCTGAAGCTTGTTCTAGGTTTCTGATCAATTCATATCGATCCCTTCTACTTGATATGTCATGTACTCTGGCTTTAATCTCCTTTATTTGAGTGGCTAGTGAACGGCGCGATCTTAAGTTCTTGACGGAGCGGGTGGTTTTGTGAAGATATCTAGTGAATCTATGCGACTGATCTTGTCCTTGTTGTGCAAAGCGAAACTTGAACTCATCGAGAACGTCTTCAATGTCATAAGCCACATCCCTCACTTGTTTCACCCATGCCTTTATGCCTTCGCTTGTTTCTCCCTTTGCATCAGCATCTCTTAGAAGGGCTCGAATGCTTTCCAGTTCATCTCTGATATCCACCACATCTGTATGCACATTCTTCAATAACTTCACGTCTTCCTCTATCAAGGATGTAAGCTGTCCGAGTAGAAAGCTTACAGCGCTCTCTGCCATTTCTTTTCTCTTACTAGAAAATTGATCATACTCTCTTCATATTCAGATCTAGGAAGGTTTGGAAATTGATCATCTAACCGATTTTTCTCTATAAAATTAATCCTGCACCTAACCAGTGCTTCCACGCATTGATTTTATCTATTTTCTTTAATTTTCGACGTATATCAGCTGTCCTGTCATGTACCATGTCATTAAATCAGAATCGTCACATTGAAGACCGGGGCACGTGAATTCATGGTCTTGCATTTGTGGAACTAGAGATATGCAGATGCGAATTCATCGTTGTCGGTTGAGATTGGTTTACCAGCTTGACTTACAAGTCAATTAAAAGTGGCTATTTTATCAGACAAAAATTATTCGACTTTTTTTGTCTTCATTCTTCATTAGTTCTGCAACATTTTATACCAAGAAAAAGCTCTGGGGACTGGGGATATGAATTTAGAAGCATCACCGGTTCTATAAAATTGAAAATATTTTTTTTTTTTTCTCGATAGATATGAATTTTTTTATTAATAACCACTGGGAAAGAGAATATACTAGAACAAAAACAAGGCTTTGTCCACAAGGCCGTTTTAAATAACTCAAAAATACAACTGGTATAACAATTAAAATATAACCAATAGAAAACCATAATAAATTATTGCAAGCCTGGCGTTTCAGAATATATATAGTTTAACTATCATTAATTACAACCAAGTGGGAGCAATAGATCAAATCACCAAATTAATTAAGATTGAATTGATGACAAAGATGCATGCCCATGTTTTAAAATTTGTATCTCTAAATTGCCATTGGTGCATATTCAAGGTGCTCTAATTTGTAATTCCTCCCATCTTATCATCTTAGGCTGCAATTGGCATTCCTTCAAAATTCAGTATTCATTGGAGCAGTCGTCCTTAACCAGTTTTGAATCCTATTTCTTCTGTTGTAGGAATTATATTCCGGGATGACCATGGATCCTTGGTATATACTCGAGTTGTACCTTTTAATGTTCACCCAGCTCTCAGCCATGAGAGAAAGTTCTGTTTGAAAAAGCCTTCAATTTGCTTCGTCTATCGGTATCTCTCAAACTATTTTTTAAGGTGATTTCAAAAGCCTTACGAGGACCAATATTTGTTCAGGTATCACAAGCCATTACTCAACTATCAACTATATTTGAGTCCCAACTTTCTATGTGTAACATGTCTTCCTTGAATTCCTTAATTCTTGCAGATATTATTGCAAAACGCTTCTCACGTGTCAATCAATTAGCAAGCATAAAAATTAAACCAAATAACTAGATGGAGCATATATGTTGTGTCAAACCGAAGATCCAAAATTGGCAAATAGAGAAACATATAAAAACTATAAATGTGCTTCATGTTGTTGCCTACATCCACTAGAGGAGAAAAAATCCACTATATTAGGAATTGGATTATAAAACTTGGGCAACCTCTTATAAACCCCAGTACCCTATACATACAAAACTCCCCCAAACTCTCTCTTGATCTATCATTGTTGGGATTGAAGCAGCCGATAATCTATATTTGCATAAAGGAATGGAAACGGAAATAGCAAAAGCCAAAGAGAGACAACACCGAATTTAACGTGGTTTGGCCAAATTGTCTACATCTACAGGTAGCAGCTCAAAGTTTCTTCTTTGAATGAAGGGGAAATTTATCATATGTATGGCCAAACCATGCGGGATGGTAGGGCCAAACTGTCTACATCTACAGGCAGCAGCTCAAAGTTTCTTCTTTGAATGAAGGGAAAATCTATCATATGGATGGACAAACCATGCGGGATGGTAGGGCGAAATTTCAAAAATTTCTTTTACCCTTTCGAGAATCGCATTCCCTAGTTTTAGAAAAATTACATTTTTCAATGATTGTTGTTGAACCAAACCAGACTAGATCTGGAACCAAAAGAAAGGGAAAGGAATACTTTATACGGAATTCATACGTGTAGTTCCCAAAATAGGTGTTCACGCCCAAAGAGGGTACCAAAACCCACTTCCGCTGAAGATGGCGCAGCTTAGGACGAAGTAGGTTCAGCAATGTCGTCCTTCAGCAAGAACTCTGCAACCCAACAACTGATACGGAATCCACACGTGTAGTTCCCAAAGTAGGTGTTCATGCCCAAAGAGGGTACCAAAACCCGCTTCCACTGAAAATGGCGCAGCTGAAGATGAAGCAGGCTCAGCAATGCAATCCTTCAACAAGAACTGCAATCCAATAGCTTTGATCGAGCAAGGGAGTATGAGCACAAAATTTGATATGATTTTCTTGCAAAAACAGAGGTAGGAACTGATCTCTATTAGTTCAAAAGGTGGAGAACAAATTGGGTAGAGCGGTAAGAGCAGAAGGAGAGAAAACTGAGCACAATTGAGTGATCTGGAGCAATTCGCCCTCCTTCTTTTTATAAGCCTTAAAGATGATCTCTCATAATCCTATTAGGAGTCTTTGATCCAAATCTTTATTTTGATCTGGACTCTTAAGTGGATAAGACTTATCCTCTTATCCTATTGTTGATCCAAACTCATATCCATACCCATATCCGCCCCATGTCACATGAATGCTTTAAGCTGTTATGTGACACCCTGATTAATCTAATTAAGAAGTGGCTCACGTCCCCTCTTAGTTGCTAACTAATTTGTCTCTCTTTGTATGGCATGGGACCCTAATAATGACCTCACAAATGCCCATATGGGTTCAACCTAGCTTCTGTGACAAAGCCTAACCGAATTCACCACTAAACACAGTAAACCCCTAAGTCCATCAGCATGGGCTCTTAATGGACCCAACATTTACACTAAATGGTCCTTGAGTCCAGCCATCCTATGAAGGCCCAAGGACAATAGACTTAAGTGAGATATAGCCCATTAGGTATAACAACCCTAAATAGTCTTACACTTAACCTCTCAACCTTTAATGATCAAACACTACTCAACAAGAGATGACCTCTCTCTCGGCTGCAAGGTACAGTGTTGCATTCTCTGCTCGGATGGATTCTAGGAATTAAAACATTTTGCAAACATTTTTCTTAAAACATAATATATATATATATTTCATATAAATATATTTTGCAAAATAAATCTCAAAAAAATTTGAAATCGACTGCAGGCAGTTTTGGTTTCTTTAAGAGAGAGTGCAGTCCCTGATCATTCACTTTGTCCGACAAAGGGGCTGATCCTGTTACTATGATCATCCACTCAAGTGAATTCTCAGACTGCCCAACATACCCAGGTTTTGACCTTAAAGGATCTCATTGATTGGCATATCAAAGACAACCCAATTTGACACCCAGTACAGTACCATAATTAAGTCTAGGGGTTAGGTGTAACTTTTCAGTTTTGCCCATTAGTCTCCAAGGTCTAGGGCATAATTGGAAAATGGTCTGGGTTTAGTGTTTCAAACAAACGCACACTACATGTGCTTTGGGTCTAACCCAGGTAGCTGAGACAAACTACCCCAACCGACTTGGTAGCACATTAGTGTCAGCTTTGGCAGGATAGACTTCCCCAAGTCTATCCAACGACTGGGAACATTTTAAACTAGCACAAGTCTCATAAGTGTCTAGTTTAAGGGTAATTTCACAGAAACACACCATACATAACATGAATCAATTATGTACTTTTATTCATTTACAATAAATGTTTATGTACATCAATCTGATTGGAATTAAGGGCATACACTGTCTAACATTCTTCACTATAGAAACAAGAGAAATTACATTAGAACATCACTACAATTACTTAGCACACACCCATACACCCTTGTTGAGAAACTCGTACCGGATACCCAAAACCCACTCTCATACAAGAGAATAAACAAGAATGAATGGGATGAGTTACAAGGATATGGACCACCCTTATTCATGGTAAACAAGAGGGATAAAATGGGCATTTTAGAAAAATCTTGCACCCTTTGATTTGACACCCAAATGGATAGCTAGGATTAAATCCCCCTTTCAATCCATAGTAAATATCCTTTGGTTTTGTCAAAACAAGGGGTGAGAAAGGGTTTTCACCTCAACTTCTTGTTATTGGGTGGATCATCCCATTATAAAACTATGGTTGCAACTTGGGCCGGACTAGCCCTAACCCAACCAAAAAGGTCAGATTGGGTTGGGTCGATTGGTGCTCGGGTTAGGGTTAGGGTTGAAATTTATAAACCCGACTTTACATCGAATTGGGTTAGGGTTGACCCCTTGGGTAACCCGACCCAACCCGAACCCAACTCTATAGTACATATTATATATAAATATATGTTATATATATGATCATACATTGATTTGTTTAGATGCATGATAGTTATATTGCCACTACCACATAATCCTAATTGGAAATATTAAAACCTTGATAACATATTTTATGTTTTTTGAATATTTTATTCTTTATCTCCTCTCTATTGTTGTTTGCCAGCCATAGCTTGTTGCCCATAAAAGATCTATTATAAGTAATCATAATAAACTATAGTCATTTCAAACTCTTTTTTCTGAATTTTGTACTTATAAAAACATCAACAAAAAAATACTAATAAAACATAGGATTAGTATATGTAATGAAAGTTGAGTTAAGATCTAAGATTAAGAAGTTCTACGAGATTTTAAGGGATGGGAAGGTCGGGTTGGGCCCAATCCAAGCCCAGTCCAACCCGAAGTTGACTTTGGGTTGGGTTGGGTTGGGTTAGGGTTGAAGGAATTTAGTTAGGGTTAGGGTTAGGGTTAGGGTTGGGTAGGTCGGATTAAAGGTCGGGTTGGGTTAGGGTTAGGGTTGGGGGTTTAGAACTTAGGGTTGGGCTAGGGTTGGCCTCAACCCAACCTAACATGGCCAACTTGCAGCCCTATGTAAAACTTGCTGTATTCGGTGGGCCAGTCAATGAGGACTGACACCACCTTAACATTCTCCCACTTGAAAACATTTCTCTTTATAGTGCGAAAAACACTCTTGAGAATAGCTGCCAATTATCATTATCTTGTCAAGTGACTTCAAGCTCAAGAGAAATTCTGCACCAGTTAAACTTCTTTTTTTGTCATAGGTTTCGTCAACATATTTGCAATGTTTTTCTTGGTATGGATCTTCTTTAATGAGATTTTCCCATCTTCAACTACTTTACAAACAAAGCATTATTGTACATCACTGTGCTT